TAAGTAACGTTAACGTAAGTTAACGTAAGTTAACGTAACGTTAGTACGTAGTAGTAGTAGTAGTAGTAGTAGTAGTAGTAGTAGAGAGAGAGAGAGAGAGAGAGAGAGAGAGAGAGAGAGAATCTTAAAATTTTAGAAAGAGAAACTATTTTAAATTTTAGAAAGAGTAAAGCACCTAAAAATTTTAGAGAGATAAATTATCTCAAAATTTTTAGATAGACAATTTCAAAATTTAAATTTAAGAGAGACAAACCATATCAAATTTTAGAGAGAGAAACTATCTCAAATTTGTTATAGATACACTATCCCAAATTTTAAGTTCTAGAGAGAGAAAGTATAGAAAATTTGTAGAGAGATAAATTGTTTCAAGTTTTGTCACCAAATAATGGACATAGAAGTGATTGCAAGGGATCCATAAATTTTATATAATTTATCCAAACAAGATATTTGAGGAATCCATGACAAAAAATCCTTGATATTGAAAATCTATAAATTTCCTTGGATTTCAAATATCTAAGATTCCTAATTTCCTCCTATCCAAACGGCCCCTTAAGGTTTTTCTGACTTTCAGATATTGGAAATCCAAAATTAGGGATTAAGTTGTTTTTTTTAAAAAGTAACTTAATTCTTAGTTCCAAAAAATAAAAAAACAAAAAATAATTCTGGCTTTGAGATTTTGAATATGAAAAAATTTTAAAAAAATTAAAAAATCCTTAAATTCAAATATTCAACATCCAAAAATTAGGAAAAACTTTAACTTTTTTATTTTTAGATTTTGAATATCTGAATATTAAAAAAATAAATTAATCCCAAATGAGTTTCATTTTAGATCTTGAAGGTTCGAAATTTGAGCAATTTGGTCATTTTGAAAAAAAATAAGAATAACTGTATAAACATAATAGAAAAATTTAAATGAGTTTTAAATAAAGAAAAATTTATATAAGGTTGCAACCTTAAAATTTAGAATTATAGATGCACCTCAAAAATCTATCAGAAATGTTTTTCTAATGTTGAAAGACCCTCTAATTGATCATCTCGATGTCAAGATGTATGAATATGAAAAAAAAAAAAGTTTTTGACTATCATAAATAGTGCATCTTGCAACACATTATCTAGACTGTCTATTTTCAAGATTTTCATGTCTCTAGATCTACTTGATTTTAACCATTTTTGGAATTTAAATTTTTTTAATTACATATGAAAATAGATTTTAAGAAATTTTTACAACAAAATTACGTATTATTATAAAATTTGGAGGTGTGCCTTAACTGGATTGTTTAAGGTTGCAACTTTGT